CATAGAACACCTTTGGGATGAATTAGAGGCGGAGACTGCAAGCCCCTCCCCCAACATCAGTACCTGACCTCACAAATGATCCAACATTCCCATAGACACACTCCTAAACCTTGTGGACGCCTTCCCAGAAGAGGCGGAGCTGTTATAGCGGCAAAGGGCGGAGCCAACCCAATACTGAACCCTACGGACTAAGACTGGGGGGCCATCAGAGGGCGGAGCCAACAAAATACTGAACCCTACGGACTAAGACTGGGGGGGCCATTAGAGGGCGGAGCCAACCCAATACTGAACCCTACAGACTAAGACTAGGGGGCCATCAGAGGGCGGAACCAACCCAATACTGAACCCTACGGACTAAGACTGGGATGCCATTAGAGGGCGGAGCCAACCCAATACTGAACCCTACGGACTAAGACTGGGATGCCACCCTACGGACTAAAACTGGGATGCCATTAGAGGGCGGAACCAACCCAATACTGAACCCTACGGACTAAGACTGGGATGCCATTAGAGGGCGGAGCCAGCCCAATACTGAACCCTACGGACTAAAACTGGGATGCCATTAGAGGGCGGAGCCAACCCAATACTGAACCCTACGGACTAAGACTGGGATGCCATTAGAGGGCGGAGCCAGCCCAATACTGAACCCTACGGACTAAGACTGGGGGGCCATTAGAGGGCGGAGCCAACCCAATACTGAACCCTACGGACTAAGACTGGGGGTTGTTGGGTGATAAGAGGTCCTTGTTCCGGGATGAAGAAGCGACAGATAATCTCTCCTCCTCGTTAGGAATCCATAGAGTTGAACTCTGCGGTAACGAGGCGGGCCGGGTCTCGGGGTCACGGCACACATCCTCATTTCCTGTAACCGGGCCGGAATCCCACGGGGGGTCACCTCTTCTTGTAGTCTCTTTCAGACGACCTTCTCATCCTTGTTGGGAGAGCTGCAGATCCCGAGAGGGAGGAATTGATTGGGCCGACATGACATAAATCTCTGCTACAGACATCTGCTTCCATCGATTCCCCCGGCTGGGAATTCCAGGAACCTCGAAGCCTCTGTGGGCCCCGGCCGCTCCCCGCCCCCATCTTGGAGCAAGTCCCAGGCATTGCGCTCTCGTCCTAAAGTTAAAGCTGAACCCTCAACGGGGACATACGTGTCTCTGAGCTGTGTTACCTGCCAGGTCCCTGACCTCCGCCTCATGTCATAGGCAATAGGTTGGTCAAGGCCCCGCCTCCAGGCTGCTGAATGGACAATTAAGAGGGTGCCGAGCAGGGGCGTAACTAGAAATCACGGGGCCCCGTAGCAAAATTTTGTATGGGGCCCCCCGTGATTGCTAGTTATGCCACTTGCAGAGCCCACCTGAGAGTGACCCTGCAGAGCCCACCATAGACTCTCTATGGCGGGCTCTGCAGGGTCTCAGATGGGCCGCACACCTCTTACCTGTCAGCGCTGTCCACCTCCGTGGTCGCCGGGGGGCCCCCGCCTCCTCTTCCGTCCCCCGTCTCCTCTTCTATCGACGGGCCCCGCCTCCTCTTAGGTCGATGTCCAGTGACCTAAGAGGAGGCGGGGGTTGCTCTCAGGCGGGCCCCGCCTCCTCCTTCACTGCGAACGCCGGCCTCCCCTGCTGGCTGTCACTGACACAGCCAGTGTCAGTGACAGCCGGCACCCTTACATGCCATAGCGACCCAGGCGGCTCACATGGCCCTGGCCCGGGCCCCCCCCTGTGCCCGGGCCCCATGTACGCCACTGGTGCCGAGTCTCCTCCCTGCGCTCTCCTGTCAGCTTCTTCTTTGATGCTCCTGATTGGCTCGCAGTCCTTCCTCTCCCGGTCTGAGCGCTACTTGTGTTAAGGTATCCTACTCATTATGAATGGGCTGTATTAAGAATGGGCTGCCAAAGGAGGACAGTGGACAATAAAGAGAGTCTCATCTTTATTATGAATGGACCTCACTTCACAACGCAGCACGCCGCCGTGCATGGGCATACGCTGCTCCGTACGTCGGCACCTACTGCACAATGCGTTGGGGCGCCATCCACAACGAAACCTCCACCCATAGCGCCATCAGTGAAATGTATGACCGCCTTTGTTGGTGTCCACGCCGCGTGACCCCTCCCCCTTCGAGGAATCCACGGGGATGAGTCCCGAGACAAACTGCACGTTCATTGGCTGAATGGGTGACCGGGAGAACTGAGGGCCCCGCTCAGCGACATTTGTTCTTATAAATAGACGGAGATGAGAACGAGCCGCGGATAGAAGAAGCGATAAAATGGCGGCATCCTAGCTGGGAGT